TTTCCAGATTGATGTCGGAAGTATGAGAATTGGGACAGATGTTGGTGAACGTGAAGAGACTCCAGATAGTGGCCAGTGAATTCAAATGTTTCCTTAATATTCTCACTGGTGTCCCACTAGTTCCAAGCTGATAGCCATATCTTGGGAGGCATAAAGTGGACGCAATAAGGTCATGGTCAGGATAGCTGGACATGAAAATGCCTAGAGGGCACGGTTGAAACATCAGTGTATTCAGAATTTTGTTCAATGATCTGCGGTCATAGCGTACTAGCTTGCCTCGCACTTTGGAAACTCTGGAGTGAGGCTGAGAGTGGTCAGGTTCCCAGGCATTTGCATAAAATTCCTTGACCAATACTTCATCAATCTCATCAGGGAGATTGGCCAATACAAGATTCCATTTCCGCTTCTCTAGTTCTTCTTGGATATGGTCATATTCTCCAGGTTTCAATTCAATCCTCCTCTCAGGTAATAATGCCCTGCTCATAATATTCTGATGGAACCTATCAGAATTGGCCTCTGAAATAAAACGGTCCTGATCATAGTTCAAGACAAGGTTCTCCTCTTGGGCTTCTGTAGGTTGGGATCTAGAAGAAGACCCTCGGGTGGTCTTCCTCTTCTTTTCTTTTGTGCTCTTGGGAGGTGCCATCTGTAAGAAATAATAGACAGGGCAAACAATTGTGGAAGATGGGTCAGAGCAAGTGAATGACTCAAAACACAAATGCTGGCAGATGGAATTCGCTATGCGCCAACGTGCGGTATGCGAATTTGCACTTTCAATGCCTGCTGTCAAGATCAATTCGCTATGCGACACGAGTCACTGTGCGAAAATGAAAAATAAGTGTCTTCGCTCAGGAACCATTCGCTATGCGACAAGAGTCGCTGTGCGAATTTCTTATCAAAAAGCAAACATGTAATTCGCTGTGCAAATTTCTCGATAAGCGAATTTCATATCAGAAAACCAGACCTATAATTCGCTATGCGAATGTGTCGCCTAGCGAGAGACAATGTAGAGGATATCCAGCAAAGATCAATTGACAGTGCAAATGCATGTTTATCATATATCAACAACAATTTTGGCTTGAAAATTTATATGCACGATTTGGTTCAAACAAATCAAGCCAAATAGACAAGAAACTCTATTATAGTCCCATGAACACTAAGAATCAAAGAAGAAAATGGAGTAGGAGTGAAACCTGTGGAGAGTGACCAAGATCAGAGAGTGAAGATGCACTTGAAGCAAAGCAGAAGCAGAGTCAAGAATGTGAAATAGTGGCAATGGAGAGAAATTGGAGAATTTGGCAGAGAAGGAGGGTGCGTTCGCCGTGCGGAGAGGTAGGAAGAATGGTGGCTAAGGTAAAATGAAGAGTGGTAAAATGAGTAGGGAATGGAGTAAGATTTAAAAAAAAAAAACTGAACGAGTAAATTTGCATAGCGCATCACAGCTGTGCGTTGTGCGAATAAGCTCGTAATAAATGTCATTCACTGAGAGTTTAATCGCATAGTGCACCTCAGCTGTGCACTGTGCGAATCTCTCTCGTTTTCTGCACATTTGCATAATTTATTATTTTTTTGAATTTTGGTGTTCAGTCCCATAGCGCACCGCAGCTGTTCGTTGTGCGACTAAATTTTTTTTTGTTTTTATTTTTTTTTCTAACATTTTTTTAGAAAAACATTCCAAGAGCGCACTTCAGCTATGCGAATTAAAATAAAAATTCCCTCTCACATTTAATTTGCTCTGCGCAAAATTTTGCCTTGCGAATATTTTGACAGAGCTCTCCCTTAAACTTTTGGTAGCATAGCGCAAAGTGTGCGCTATGCGAATTAATGCTCACTTTCTCCTAAATTGCTCTAGTGATTTTATTCGCCTTGTTATCCAATGCGCTATGCGAATCCTTTTGCAGAGAGAAAATTCAATTTTTTTAATCGCAAAGCGCATGTAATGCGCTATGCGAACTACAATCTCAAAACAATTTCTTTTTCTCTCTCGCATAGCGCGTGAAATTCGTTGTGCGAATAATTCACTGCTTCATAAAATCATCTAGTCGCATAGTGCACCTCAACTGTGCGCTGTGCGACTAGAGCGTTAAAAATTATTCCTCAAGCTTCCTTAACACTTCCTCTCCACTCTCAAACTTAACAATTACACAAACAAAATCAAAAAGCATAGATATATACAAACATGTGCTAGGGTGCCTCCTAGCAAGCGCTTCTTTAACGTCACTAGCTTGACCCAAACATTTCATGGTTCAGATAAATGAATAATTGTGGTGAGGCGTTCAACCTCTCCACCCAAATAATGTTTCAATCTTTGAGCATTTACAATCCAGCTTCTATTTGAATCCTCAGAATTTTGATCCATCAATTCAATAGCACCATAAGGCTTGACTCCCTTTATCACAAAAGGACCAGACCATTTAGATTTCAACTTACCTGGAAACAATTTGAATCTGGAATTGAACAACAATACCTGTTGTCCAGGTTGGAACTTTCTCTTTATCAGCTTCTTATCATGGTACATCTTGACCCTTTCTTTATATTTTCTTGAAGAATCATAAACAGTCATCCTCATTTCCTCCA